ATATATATATATATATATATATATATATATATATATATATATGAATATTTAAATTACTTAAACATATTTATAATTGAGACATGTTGTTACGTAGTTGATATAATTGTATTCTTAGGTCACAGGTGTAGTCGGTAGAGCAGAGACTTTGTCCTCTTTGTTTTACCTGGCAGCTTTAATCACGTACACTAAATGTTGCAGAAGCAAAAGATCTACAGGTAATAATTTTAATACAAGTATGAATGTGTGACTGACTGTGAAAACATTAGATTTATGTGTGCTGTATTTTACAGGGTGGAAATACTTGATATTGTCTATGTTTTTTGTATTTACCGCAATGTTGTGCAAGGAGCAAGGGATTACAGCCACTGCAGTTTGTGTACTGTACGAAATTTTTGTTGTACAGAAGGTAAAGTTATTCTCAACCTATACTCCCTCTGTGTATCTTCTCTAGAGAATGAAATCACATTTATATCTATAATTTCGTTTAGGTTAGAGCAAGGGATATTTTCTTAGCGTTAAAGTCAGCTTTTGGTGGTAATAAAATTTCACCTGCATGGTCAGGCGAAGGTACAAAACGTTTGACCGCCCTTACACTTGTTACATTTAGCCTGCTTATCCTACGGTTACATATAATGGGCTCAAAGTTACCTGTATTTACCAGGTACTATCACACATTTTGCATTATTCTTAGATTTGTAAATTATGTGTTTGAAGACTAACGAAAACAATAATGTATGTATCTGTTAGATTCGACAATCCTGCATCAGTTGCTGCAATGCCAACCAGACAGCTTACATATAATTATCTCGCTGCAGTGAATCTAAGACTGCTATTTCTTCCAAGTGATTTATGCTGTGATTGGACAATGGGAACGATACCGTTAGTAGAAAGCTTCACCGATGTCCGCAACCTTGCGACCCTAGCCACTCATGGAACTGTACTAGGATTGCTTGTGACAGCCGTTGTGACACGTAGCAGACAGACGTCGGTCATTCTCATTATGGTTAGTAGAGATCATTGTGGAGTTAGGTCATAATGTAGTAGAGAATATAATATGATCACTGGTTATTATGAGAAGAATTATGGTGCTATGCATGCTCTAGAGATTGTGTAGATTCACTGTGCAATTAACAGTACTAATGTCCAACCAATACGTTATGTTTTCTAATTAATGCCTGCAGAGTTCGGCTATGATGATACTCCCTTTTCTACCTGCGTCGAACCTTTTCTTCCCGGTCGGATTTGTAATTGCTGAGAGAGTGTTGTATGCACCTTCCATGGGGTTTTGCATGCTTATTGGATATGGATGGAGCATTTTGGCGGACAAGAGGTAAGTTGTGTCGTCGGTGGATGTTCAATTCAATCTATATAAAATCGATGACCTATTAAGTATCATTTTACAGGTGCAAGAAATTGGTGCTAGTTTTACTCGTGACACTTTTGGCTGCGCACACGACGAAAACGTTCGTCAGAAATTACGACTGGTTAGACGAATATTCGATATTCATGTCGGGCTTGAAGGTGAACGACAGAAATGCCAAATTATTTAATAACGTGGGCCATGCGTTAGAGAGCCAAGGCCGATTTAAGGAGGCATTGAATTTTTTCAACATGGCTGTACAAGTTCAGGGTGATGATATCGGTGCGCACATTAATGTTGGACGTACTTATAATCATCTTAAAATGTTCAAAGAAGCCGAAGATGCGTATCTGAAGGTAAACACCATTAAGAGAAAGATGTTCGTTTATATAAATTTATTTTATATAAACTTATTTCTATTTTATAATTCTTGTGCTCTTGTTTTTTTATTCCAGGCCAAGTCGTTATTACCAAAAGCAAAACCAGGAGAATCTTATCAAGCACGTATAGCACCGAACCATTTAAATGTGTTTGTTAATTTGGCTAATTTGATAGCTAAAAACGCAACTAGGTTAGAAGAAGCAGATTTGTTATACAGACAAGCGATCAGTATGCGTGCTGATTATACACAAGCGTATATTAATCGTGGCGATGTTTTAATTAAGCTTAATCGTACGAAGGAAGCTCAGGAGGTTTATGAGCGGGCACTGTTTTACGACAGTAATAATCCTGATATATATTATAATGTAAGCATTGAATGTTTTTAAAATAGAGTAGGAATACGGATAAACATATGTAATCGCATTGGGATAGTTAATTAGTTATCAAGTTAAATGATTAACATTTTTTTTGCAGCTTGGTGTTGTATTCTTGGAACAAGGGAAAGCGTCTCAAGCCTTGGCATATTTGGATAAAGCTTTAGAGTTTGATCCGGAGCACGAACAAGCGTTACTGAATTCCGCTATACTACTTCAAGAGTTGGGACGGGCGGAATTACGTAAGGTAGCTAGAGAGAGACTTCTGAAGCTTTTGCGAAAGGTAATTGTCTTTTCCCTCGGTAGTTCATGGGGGAACAAATATATTAAAAAAAAATTATAACGGTATTATGTGTATCGCGGCGCTATCGTACATGATCTGTTTGCAGGATTCCAATAACGAGCGTGTACATTTTAATTTGGGAATGTTAGCGATGGATGACCACGACAGCGGTAGCGCGGAACGTTGGTTCCGCAACGCCGTGGCGCTGAAGGAAGACTTTCGCTCTGCCTTATTCAATCTCGCGTTATTGTTGGCGGACGAGCAACGTCCGCTTGAAGCGGCACCATTTTTAAACCAATTGGTCAGGTTCCATCCCGACCACGTGAAAGGCCTAATACTTTTGGGAGACATTTATATCAACAACATAAAGGACCTGGACGCTGCGGAAAGTGTAAGATATTGCGTGTAACTTGTGTTAAGATTTTTTTTTTATAAAGATATTCTATTAACTTACGCGCCATGTAGACAATCATTGACAAATCTTGTGCGATTGCAATCCTGGAAATATCAATACGATCGTTTCAGTGTTACCGTAGAATATTACAGTTGGATCCCACAAACATACAAGGATTGCACAATTTGTGCGTTGTAATGGTGGAGCGTGGTAAATTGGGCTTAGCGGCGCAGTGTCTGGAACGCGCTGCCGCTCTGGCGCCACAGCAGGACTACGTGCAGAGGCATCTCTCGATCGTGAGAACACGCATTAGCCGCCTGCCGCCGGATCAACGCGACACCGACGTCTTTGACGATTCGTTTTGGAACGGCAACGTGAGGGACAGAAACTTTAATAACGAGCCGACGAATGGAAAGTTCTTAGGAAAGACGGATTCCGTTTTCGCGAATCACGCGGTAGTTCACAATCACATAGGAAGTAAGCAAAGCAATACTGACTCCCTGAATAATCATATTATACACTTGAAAGGTCCATCAAAGCCTGCCCGAGCGGTGAGCGGTGTCGGTATGGAAACGAAGGACGGACAGCGTCCCGAGCAAACGGTCCCCGGGTTGACTAATATCGTGGAACCTACCACGGACAGGGTTTTCGATAGGATTATAAGCGCTGACGTAACGAAACTAGATATCACACAGAAACACGGCTCGAAACACGCGAATTCCGAGTTCCAATTCAATCGGAGCGCCGCGACGGTCGGCGGCAAGCAAGGAATTCAGCAGACAAAGGACAGTGCGTTGTCATAGTATTAACGTAAATCCGCCGAATACTGTAAAGTTATGCATATAACAAAAGGTTATGGTGGTACACAGTCGTATAGAGCTAATGTGTGAATATAAAAATAAATACAGAGTATTGTTTTATATGCTGTATAAATAGGACGTTTTATAAAATATATTTAAAAGAATCGCGTGCGTGCGTAAATTCTTTTTATTTCCCTCCTGTATCCATTTTCCGCTGCAATCGTAATTTCTAATCTCTCACTATACGAGAACTGTTGTGAGGCTACACGGTATCTCATGTGACGTCATATATATAGCACATAATGAGTTTTCGACGCATAATCGCATTCCTTTCATGTACGTAATAATTTCTACAAAGGCCTACAAAAATCTAAAAGATGTCAGTGTGGTCGCAGCATTTTATTCTTTCGTACATATGAAACAATTTATGTTTACACAGAGACGAATGAATGATCGCAATTGAAATTGAATTACGCTTGACAAACATTCGATTGTTGTTCAATGTGAAAATTTTGCAGAAATACGCGAATAATATTCGTGTGTTTCTACGTTTTATCGATACGCGCGCATAAACAAAGTTTATTCGAAAGGTCATCGCCCGATCGTCGATTTTAGTCCGTGCATTACCTGCAACTTATTATATCGATTGCAGCACGAAAGCAAGCCGTTGCGGGCTTACAAAGTGGCAAAGTAATGAATCAAGTTGGCTTTCATGTACATCGGATGGCAGGCTGCTGAAACATCATATAGTATGCATGTGGAAGTTACAAGACTTTTACCCTATCACGCCCCTCACTCACGAGGCAACATATTAGCGTGCCGATGTGTGTGTGCGTAATGTAAAAACGCTCTACCCGATAAATATGGAAATGAAACATGAATGCGATGTATAGGGTGCTTGTGAATTACCTAATTTCATCATTGTACTTCCATCCACGTAAAATGCATAAATAGGTTTCGCGATAAATCACTAATTTCTTTTTCCTTGTTAATCTCTTTTTCGTATTTCACGGTGTACAGGCCGTTTTTAAAGTGTTCGGTCGAACACTTCAACGTATTCTAATGGCTTTGCCGCAAAAACTGTTATACAAAGACGAATGCATGCTTCGTTCCTAAGCCGCAGGCTTCAGCGGAGTCAGCTGAGAGGTCAGCGGAAAGTTTTCGATATCCGAGTAAATTGGACACCATAGCGGAATGAAAACAAATATATTATATTTAAACATCAAACAAGCCAACGAACCGGACGTTTTGTCATTGGACAAAACTGCTATCGTTATCTGCTGATTACGACCGACTATGTTTTTGACGCGCGCGCTATCGTCCATCGTTATTTGGTATTTTCTCCCCGCAGCCGAGTCATCGCTCGTGAACGCTATAAACCGTAAACGACGTATCTCGGTGTTTTGATTAGGATTCACGTCGCTCTGAAAGTTCCAAACGAACCCCCACAATCTATATTAGGATCGGCCAAAATAGATTCCGTATTGCTAAGCAAACGAAAACTGGTAGTCGACGTGAAGGTTAACGCGTTAATCGACCTCGAGACGACCGCTTGCCGGGGTCCGACTTCGCGACGCGACGCGAGGCGACGCGAGGCGACGCGACGCGCCACACCGCGCCGCACCGCGCCACCCAGGAAACCCAAAGACGCTCGTTGACCTATTATAGCTCGCAAGATCCTGTTCTAATCGAAAACAACGTCCTTGATAAGTCATCGTGGCTCAGTCCGAGCGTCTGTGAAAGCGACGTCGATGCTCCATTTAAAATTTCCTTTTTGGACGCCCGCAGGAGATGTTGGGCGGCGGGAGCCAGGTCAAGTGTCTGACCCCAGGGATTCCAGTGACTCGAAAGACACCGCATTTTCAGCGCATAGTTCGCTGAATACGGATGCCCTACTTCTTTCGAACGTCTTTCACGTGTTAAATTATCGTTGCTCGGGAGGATACAGAATATTCTACACGGAGAGAGAATTTTTTAGCATAAAACATAATTAGGCAAAATAATAATTTATAATCGAGGTCGACATACTGCAATAATTGACTGTCCTTTTATTTTATATGAATTTCATATTTATATTCTAAAAACTGAAATATGTTACATCACAAAAATTTGTCATGTTTCTAATGAAATTTACGATGTTTTTAGCAAGATGGGATTTACCGACAGTTTATTCCCCTGTATCCTGGAAACATAGAAAAAGAAATTGAAAAATTTGTATACGAAAAAGAGAACATAATCTTTTCTATTTACACAATATGTAAGACTTTACAGACCTTCAAACACGCACAATATGCGTGTCTTTCAAGCGCTAGATATAATCATTGTTAATGAATTGTTATCGAGAATCAATCATTGCTTCATATAGCTCAATTATACAGACACAATGTGAAAAGCTCAATGAAAAAGCCGCGCTGATCGTACAAATACTGGCGCTCCATCATCAACGCGTTCGTCGATATTTCAGATCGTTAAAAAAATATCACTTGCAATGACACAGGAGCGGGTCGACGTGATTTCGTTACTTATTTTGAATAATCAGAAGCTGTCCAGCAAAGTTGCTTTGCGCAACGCTTCTTTTTTTTTCTTTTCTTTTTCTTCATCTATCGTAAGAAAAGATTACCCATACAGCACAGAAGCTTGCAGCAACATTGCTACAACGATGCAAGATTGCATATTGCAGTGCAATGTTGCAGAGACATTGCAGTGACATTAATTTGCAATATTACTTTAGCAATATTGCAGTATTATTTCAAATATGACGAATATAATATAATATTTTTTACTTATTTACTAGTTATTTTTGTTACTTGTATTTCAAATTCAGTAATATTTCACATCAATAGTGCTTATAGAATAGTACTTAGAATAGTACTTGTTAGTGGCAGTCATTAATATTAGAATTTGTCTTATTACATATTTCTTAAACTTTTTATACCGTTTTTTCGGAGAAAATACTTTCTTTAGCTATAATATTCGTACTTATTTAATTTTGTGATTTTTTGTTTTATTAAAATGTTATATTCTATACGAAATATCATTTTTTGAAATGATGAAAATAAAAATTTTTATTTCGTTTAAGGAAACCATGTTATTTGATGAAACAACACTATTGTTTTAAATAGTATTTTATAAAAGTTTCTTTCAAAATTTAGTAATTCGATTTGTTTAATTTGAATTTTCTTGGATACTTAATTTTTTTGGTTTGGATTAATCATTATAACATTCTGTTAAAAATCTAAAAGTAATTATCACCGGTTCACTACATTACATCAATATTCATCGCATATCGAATGTTGTTGCGTTGTTTCAATATCTAAAGTAGCAGTAAATTATCTAACAAACACCAAGTAAAAGTTATGTAACTATTATTTGGTATTTGCTAGGTATGTTATAATATACTGTGAACACACTATAATGATAAATTATATAAACGCAAATCGTAAGAATATCATTGGGAATCGCCGCGTGCCGCTCGATCGTCAAGTTTAAGCAACACTTTAACGGAGTCAGGACATTAGATGGGTGACCTTTTGTATACCGCTTGGGATCGAAATTATCGAGGCAGGATTATAAATATATTTTTTTAAATATTATGATTTTCTCATTTTTCACATTCGCACAATACTTGTCAGTATTTGATTACTATCAATATTTAATAGTGATTTTATTATCACTACTCACCAGAAATTAAATACTGACGAAAAAATTACCGAATTACTGGTAATACATAATCACTAATAATTTTTTAGTATTTATTAGTATGATATTCCTAAGAGTAAGGGTGTTATCTAGGATTTGTATAATAAAACATATTAATAATATTACATATATATTGCATTGCAATGTTGCTGCACAGTTGCGTTGTTATATTTCCGCAAGCGGACATTTTACCGTCGCTGCAACGTTGCAGTAGCATTGCAGCAATATTTTGCAACGTTGTTGCAATGACACAATATTGCAAAACAATGATGCTGTAACATTGCTGTACTGTATGGGTACGTTAAAAAGTGTCGTTAACGCTCAATATACCGACATACCGGTCGAAGAAGGAGCGCGCGGCCCTTTCGGAAGTCAGCACCCAAGCGCGAGGGTGCAAAATGAGGTGTAGGGGGCAGTTCACGGTTGACCGCACGCCCTTCCGTATGCAGGCGCGGCATTAGCCGCGTGCCGCGCGATTAAGGGAAGCTGACAGGTGCCCCCGTGTAAACGTGTTTAATGAACACGTCTCCGCTGCTCAGTATTACTATTGGCGGGCTGAGTGTTTATAAGGGAGGCGGCCACCTTTTCGGCCACCACAAGACGTATACGCACCATCGAGTAACAATCATTCGCACACTCGCACAGTGAGTACCGTTGCCGACCTTTCGCCACCTTGCACGCACGAAGGTACGAATTTAGCAGACGTACCAGCAGGATAAGAACATCACACACATTCGCAGGCACCCGCACACAGAGATATCCGCACATACTTGACTGTAAGTCAGACGCTAAACACGCTAAACACTCGTCCACGTGTTGTAGCAGTAATCTAAATTCGTATTTGTAATAAATAATCACGCTTCTTTCGAAACCGCACTTCTTTTTTTTTCTTCTCGTGCCTTTGTGTGTCGAACAATAATACTTTCTAATGGTTCGACGAAGTGTATACTCGAGATAGATCTATCGTTGCAGATGATGATGTTTCTTGCAAAATCCGACAGTTGAACGTTTGATAAGAAATATGCGATTAAATCGATTTTCATTCGACACTTCGTGACTTAAACTACTGCCATAATCACCGGCATATACGCGTTCAATACTTGTTCATTTTTCTTCCTCTTAAACATTCGTATTTCCTGAATTTATTTATGAATCTGTTGCCGATTTTAACATCAACAATTACGGACAAATTACGGACTATCGGAC